ATTCCTTACATTAGTCCTGCCCGCCAGTAATCTTATGCAGGACGTATTACTAGTGTTGGCTGTATAGTTGGTGTGTTAACTGGTCGCTCGAATCCAACTTTTAAAGAGCTCATATCGAATAGTTAAAAAATGAAAACATACCTTTTTTGAATTTTTATATTCCTTCAATCCCTGTCTACGCAAAACTTTAGAATGGAACCTGAATAGCCAGATAGTAAAATTGGTGTGAAATAATGGCACCTTTGCCTAAGGCACCAAAGATACATTAAAACAAAGTGATAATTATTAGAGATGTTAATCCATGTTCCTAAAACTCCAGGTTACATATGCGTATAAATTTATGAGGTGCACTGTAAAGTGAGCTAACTGTTTTTGGCGGCGAGACTAGAACTTTTCTCATAAATTACTCAGGCCTAAGAGTTTTTCGAATTAACCTAGGTCTTGGTTTTTTCTCAAAGTCACTCAGAAAAAAGCCAGATCTCGCAGCTCAAAATAAGGAAAAAGAAAGTTTTTCCTTTACGTCAGCATATAAAGACACAAATAAAAGCCTAGGAATGAATATAAACATAGAATGTTATTGTTATATCCTAGTGAAGATTACATTACGTGTGAAGTCTGAGACCTAATAATGAGCTAATATTATTTATATACTCTCACGGTATAAATATTCAGTAACTGGATTAGGTATATCTATATTCCCCTTGTTACAAGATTTATTCTGACTTATAATTTATTATTGTACGATTTACTGTTCTTAAGCTATGTTCAGTTTATTGACTACTGCCTCCAACGTCCGCAACCAATTTTTAGCTTTATTGTGTACAAATGTTATTTCCTATTTTATGGTGCGCTGAGGTCTGTTTAGTTGATATATAAATCCAGTATGTCTGAAATAAATGATTCGATTCAATTCATATAGTGGAGGCTGTTATTGGTATTCTGGACTCAGCTAGACGGACTGGGCGAACGATCGACCAGTAGGACGCTAGACTGATCGGGCCTGTCGGATGACATTGGTTTAGTGTAGTATAAAAGCTAATAAGTCGTATTTTCATTGTCGAATAGACAACATGATAACTAGCGGGCTATAAAGTCACAACGGTTACTGTGTTAATGAAAGAAAACCCGTGAAATCCCAGAAAAACTTTAAAAATAGGTGATTACTTAATAATAACCAAATTTCTAAATGCGAATATGACCAAAAATAAAAACTGGGTTCCTGAAACTAGATGATAGCAGTGACAACGATGAGAGGTTGAAATCAAATACAGTGAACTGCCGAGGAAAGAACCTGACAATGCTGATGGGAAACCTAGACGCCAAAGTCGGAATGGACAACAACGGTGCGACCATATGGCCTGGAAGAAGGAAACGAAATTAGGGAGAGATTTGCAAATCTTTGTGTGTACTCGTTCAGTATTGAATGAAGAAATAATCAGCATTTTTAAATGAAACATAAAGGAATAGATTTATCATAGTTGTACTCACCGATTTAATGTCTGTTATATATTCCATTTGATTTTGATGAGGTATGATGGTACATAGTTCCTTAATTAACTTCATATATACACTTTGATAACAATGAGGACGTAAAATGTAGATTTGTATTTGTTATGTATTTTATCCGTAAAATCTCCATCGCCAGTTTGTTGTGAGTTTAATGCCGGTTAGTTATCACGTGACGTATTCGCCAATCGAAATACAACACATACAATCTTAATACTGTGCTAAACCAACAACGTTCGACCGGTATAAGCAGTCTAGCGTCTTTGTTGGTCCTTTTTCCTCCTATCCCTGCCAGTTTAGTCCAAGACTCCAACATCGACTTCCATAATACAAATCAATTATTTCAAACATACCTGGTCTATATACAAGCGAAAAAGACCACATCACACAACAAAATGGGAAATAATATTTGTAAGAGATCAAGCCAAAAGGTGTCTGTGATTATGGGAGACTCTAATCAACAAAATAAGTATAATTTATGAATGGTAGATCGTATAATTATAATCTTTAGGTCAAAATACAGCTCATAATAAGTAGAATATAAATATACATATTTTAGTAGCTGAATACTTATACAATAAGAATATATATAATATTTGCCCATTAACAGTTCTCAGAAGCTGCCCGTAATTTAATTTCACTTGGACATAAAACGAAGGAACGGACGGGTAGGACACTTCGAGGAACTCGTAAATAGGCCAGCTCCACTGAATCCACCCGACATCGAGGCAGCACACAGACCTCTCTATAGATGTCACTCCACTAGTGATCGAAGAAATCAAGATGGCCATCAGACAAATCAAGAGTGGGAAAGCAGCAGGACCTGCCAATATAACAGCTGATGCACTAAAGTCAGACATTCAAGTAACTGCAAACATGCTCAACATTCTATTCGGGAAGATTTAGGAAGACGAACAAGTGCCGATGAACTGTGAAGAAGGATACCTCATCAAGACACCACGGAAAGGAAATCTGAGCAAATGAGAGAATTACAGACGTATCACATTACTGTTAGTACCAAAAAAGGTTTTTAACAGAGTACGAACGGCTCACTAGACACTTAACTTTGAGATCAACGGACCGGATTCCGTAAGGATCGGTCGTGCACAGACAAAATCGCAACACTAAGGATAATCGTTAAACAATCAATTGAATGGAACTTGTCACTATATGTCAAGTTCCTTGAATACGAGAAACCACTTGACAATGTGAATGGGAGGATATTGTGGAAAGTTCTTCGGCACTACGGAGTGCCTGAGAAAATTGTCAACATCATCCGGAATTCATTCGACGAACTACAGTGCAAAGTGGTGCATGGAGGACGACTGACAGATACATTCCAAGACAGGACCGGAATGAGATAAGGCTGCCTGCTTCCCATTTTCTCTTTCTTCTGGTGGTTGAATGGTTTATGATGACCACATTTGAGAGACGACACGGAATAAAATGAACAGGTTGGATGCAACTAGACGACTTGGACTTCGCAGATGACCTGGCTCATCTATCCTATACACATCAATAAATACAGGTCAAGACAAACAGTGTAGCAGCAGCCTCTGGATCGACAGACCTCAGTATACACATGGGGAGAAGGAAGATCCCGAGATACAACAGTGTGTGAACCAACGCGACCACAATGGGTAGAGGAACTCTGGAAAAGATCAAATCTTTCACACACATTTCCTAAGACAACTGGCATTTTCTTAAGGTCTCAATACAGTGTCTATGAATTTGAATCTCATTTATTAACCAAAAATTCCACGTTTCTGCCATTTAAATGAGCTTCGGATCTGTTACACAAATGCTCAAAGCTTTCTCAACTAACGTTCGGAACTAGGTGTACCGATTGACTCTATCAACAGTAGAGAAAGACGATGGTAAAACTCAAGTATTCTCAAGCTACTTTAGCAATGCATATACCGTGTAAACACCCTTCCTATCAGTCTACACAGATTCACACACCCACCGGACAACGTGACTATTAAAGAACTCGATGTCCTTGGTTTGCCAAACGAGCTTGATACAGGCGAATTCAAGGGATTCAATGAACTGCGTCCCAAGTTACTAAAGGAACTAGCTAACTTTGTTACGGACCCCTGAACTTTAAGTTTTAATCTCCCCGTAACCCAGGGTCGACTATCAAGAGACTGGAGGAACGCCATAGTAAGTCCTGTCTTTAAAATAGGCACGAAACATGAACCTGAGAACTATCAATCCGGTAGCCTAATCAGTGGGGTTGTTAAAATTTCCGAAAAATTTATTCGGAAGGATCTGTTTAAGTATCTCAATGAAAGCCGGATCCCTTTGGAGGAGCATCATGGTTGTAGAATAGGTTATTCCTGCCTCATAAGCTTATTAGTGGCTCGTGAAAGCCTGTACGCTCTTGCCTACCTATAGATGTGGCCTACATTGACTTCAGAAAAGCTTTCAATAAAATTCACCACAACGGAGTGTTATATAGGTTAAGAAACGTAGGGGTTGGAGTCTATCTATCAATGTGGATAGAAGACTTCCTAGTTGGGCGCTAACAAGGAGTACGGGTAAACTCAAAGTTGTTTAGCCGAGAAATTGTGCTTAGCGAAGTACCTTAGGGTACAGTTTTGGGGCTAGCGTTATTCCACTTGTATGTACATGACCTTCCTCCTCTCCCATCATTATCGCTCTTGTTGTATACTGGCAATGTCATGATGTGGAGAGTGATAAACGAAGCAAAGGTGATAATTTAGAGCTTCAAAATGACTTGAAGAAATTGTCTGAGTGTTCTAAAATTTGGCAGTTGCATACAAATGCTTCCAAGTGCATTGCGATGCATATTGGTCATCAATGTAAAGATACATACACGGTGAATAACAGTGAGTTGCCTTCTGTTCAGACACACAATGACTTAGGATTCATCGTTAGCCAAGACTTAAAAATTACTGTACATTGACGTGAGACAACCTCCAAAGGTTTCAGAACCCTGGTGTCAACACCTAGGGCCTATAGCCATGTTGATTATCAATCTTTTTTGTATAAAGTATCCGTGCATCCTAAACTCGAGTACTGCATACAAGCGGCTATCCCCTATCTAAAAAGAGACAGAGAGCTTCCGGAGAAATTCCAAAGGACTGTAACTAAGCTGATTTCCGGTATGGCAAAGCTCTTGTATGGTGCCCGACTGGCAAAGCCAAGCCTATTCCTGTGTCATATTGAAGAACTAGAAGTGACTTAATTACAGTTTTAAAACCACATGGTGATAAATTTGCATCTGATATGTCCTTATTTTTTGTCTTCCAAAACAGAAAATTTACGAAGACACTCCAAAAATGTTCACAAGCGCAGAACAAATTACTTGAATATCAGTCTAATCATCGAACCATCAGCGGGTGGAATTTATTATCTCAGCATGTGGTTGAAGCCGTATCCGTCAACTCCTTCAAAAGAAATTTGGATCAACTGAGAGATCATCATTGCCAGGACTAACACAGGCCACCAAGCCTCCCGCCCTTTCCGAACTGAAACTGATTGTTTCCACATACCTAGACCACAACACGGGAGATAAGTGATCTTTCACCTTTGAAAATGAGAGATTCTTAACCGGTTCCATCCTCAATCTCTCGGAAGTACTAAAATCTTTTCATAAAACCGTCGTAAATATTGAACTTCGAAGGCCCATAGAAAAATTCGAATCCCAACCTATAGGTCAGCATCTGTGGGTGGCTTAGTTTCTTTTATATGTCATGTGCAGTAGTCTGTATATTTTCGTCAACACGGAACATTATTCTCATCGTACAACCTAGCAATCATTTTACGAATGTTTTTGTGACCAGGTTTAATGTAACCCAATTTCGGGGAAAATTTGACCCATTTTGGTAAACTTTGGGGAATTTCCCCAAACGTTGGGAGCTTGGGAATATTGACTGGATTTTAAACCCTGTTTGCGACAAAGTGCAAATGACTCGTAGTGATGTTTTTCAACTTCTTGTCCTTTCTACTTAGGCTACCATACCTAATGATTAAAGAACCTATGAAACCCGGAGTGGTTTAAACTGCCATGACAATTGTCATATAAAACAGTGGCATTCGGTATCGACTGGTAAATCTAAGGTTCCAACTGGTTATTATTCAAGATAAGTACTTAAGCCTGTACTTCGAAAAGAAGTCACATTTTTATTATCACTCCTTATCGTCGAAGGATTTGATTTCCACTACCGGGTTTTAGTTTTTAAAGGATACCTGCGGAGTTTGGTTTGGACAGTTTATTTATTTGAACACATTGGTACAAGAGGGCACCGAATATATATATATATATATGAGTTTACGAAGCTTTACTTGGTTACTGGGTTGATTGTTCAGAGCATGAACTGGAAATTATCAACGTATGTAATTCCTGGAAAAATCTCGTTACATACTTTCGTATATTTCATATTGACAGAAAATCCGAAGATTCAGGGTTATTTAGAATACTGACATAAACAAAACGTTCGGAAGGTGTGTTACCTTAAGCTTTTTATATCTTTGTTGTTTAATATTTGTGTTTATTTTAAACGTTTCAGACCACTTTTAATTTCCCCTTCTTTGCAGATGGGGAAAAAGCACACTTTCAGTTATTCTCGAAATCGGAAGCGATTAGGCAAAAAACAAAAGGCAAAATTAAAAATCAAAAAGTAAGTCATTTTAAGTGAAGGGTCTTAGCTCATTTTACACTTGTTATTTCTTTCTATTTAGTATCAGAGCTTGGTTATATATCAGTTAAGTGTAATCACCAAATTCATTTGATACCCTCGTTACGTTTGTATCTTCCTTGGTCTTCAAAAATATTTTGTATAAAATAATTATACCATTCACATTCATTAATGTTGCTGTTATTTATCTTCCTTAGCCAGTATTAATCTTTGCGAAATTTTTTAACTGTGGCCAGCTGTTATTTCTTATTCTAAACATGTAACTATAGTCGTCTTGTATTGGTTACATTTGACGACACTTATTCCTATCTTTAACTTTTCCTGTTCTTTGAACTGTTGACATCTGATCATTGAGATGATCTCAGTTCAATATGAACTCAGCTGACCTAGTGTTTAAGCTGCATAGTGTCAATGGTTTGAATGTCTTTAATTTCTTTATGCACTAATAAAGTAGTTGTTGAAGTACGATGACTGGTCTTTTAACTATAGGCGGTTAGGCATTTGATGCAGTCATGATATTTCACTAAGTTTACGTACTCTTGCTCTTTAAATTTGTGTTTAATTTCCATTTATTGGATACAAACTATCTCTATAAATTAATTTTTATTTAATGATTAATGTTTCATATCAGTCCAGTCATTAATTCAGCTTGGAAGTATGGATTATCTGTTAAATCAAATTTTAACCGTTTGGGTTTAGCTTACGATGCAAATGAAGCACTTGGAAATAATTGTGATCAGGTAGTCTTGTCAGAATTATCTAACTAGTTCTGTTTTTGTTAACTACAGGTTTTAACAAATGGAGAGTATGATGATAATGATGCAGTCACAAAAAATATGCCGAGACAGAAAAAGACTAATGTCGTAAAAGGCGAGATTATTCGTTGTTTATTCAATATGTTCTACACTACTCGATTATAGTTTTAGAAGAGTTAGCCAAACATAAAAAGCAAAAACCTGTGTTTGTCTCCGGAGATGATCAGTTGTTTTGCATATACAACTTAGAGATGTATCCTGAGGATGATTTCGAAGTGAGTGCGTTAATTTGAGATATAATTCTTTCTATCTTGTAGTCTATGAGTAGAGATCCAAAGAATGTTTATCAGTTGACATCCAAACAGATCGAACGACTAATCAACAAATTTAAACAAACCACTGGCTTTCAAAAGTATCTCAAAGATAAGCAGTCAGGAGAGCTTGCCATCGATGAGTTGTTTAATGAAGAACTGATGTAAATTTATTATTTTGCTAAAGAAATATAACAAATATGAATACTATGTTCTTATTTTGTGTATTCACAGAGCCTTATATAAATTCATTCAAACGGAATATTGTATGCCTTAAACGTACAAAATGACCAGTTATAATTTAGATAATGTCACTGATAAAATTGACTAAATATACGAATAGATGACATACAATGTAGCAGTGCACAATTCCGGTGTTATGGATTCTCAAGATAGTACTAAGAAACTTGGAAGTAAGTAATAACATAGCATCAGGACATATCCGTTGCTCTTTATTAATGGCGAGGTTCAAGGATTTACATACATAAGATCAGTTAGTGAGGTTGTAATGAAAGTGATTTGTAAGTAGTAGGAGTCCAACCGGTTCATTTATTTATTTAAACACATAAACATTGGTACAAGAAGGAACCAAATATGCATGTACCACGCTTCATTTGATTTGTGTAAGGGCTGGAATACTGTCTGAGTGCCAAGACTTAAGTGGTTTCTTCAGAGGATCACTCTTCGAGCCTTTGACCTAGAGGTCTAATTCACAAGGCAGTGGAACAACGTCAGGAGATGCAGTCCCATGGTAGTCGGTGACCAACAGTAGGCTCATATGCCGTTTTTCCAGCTGGATTCTGGAGCCCATGTGTACCAATGATTTGGAGTCAAGGTTCTCCAACCCCCCTAGCTGAGTTCTCCATATTCATCAACCCGGTTAAAGCGCCAGACATTTACTATTTGTTCTCTCAGTTTCGTATACAACACCCTTGCGACGAGAAAGTAGTGAGTAGGACTTCCGTGACAGCGGTTGTATACGCGTGGCCATGTGAGAACATTTCGAGAGAGCTGACTCTCTCCACCCTTGACCATACCGGGGTATTTTGGCACTGGGTCGACATTGAAACAAAGACCATAGACTGACTGTATCGAGATATAACATTTATTCATAGTTCTTCTCCTAGTCGATTGCAAGTTCAAGGGGAGAAATCTAATATACACTTGTAGAGGTTCAGTGAAGAAGCTTGACTGTTGTTGATAAGTTTCACTAAAATAATTTGGTGTATCGATTCTACTGGTAAATATATTTTTTAATTATCGATATTTAGGTTGCATAGATATTTATCAAGACCTGAACGACCAACTTCACAGATTAGGGCCTTAGTTACACAGGAGACATTAAATATAATATATCAGTATTTTGTCATATACTCAGTTTTCTTTTGTTGCATTGAGCTTGTAATGTGATTAGTTTTTCTTAAATAATAAAAATCGGTAGTCACTATTATTTTTTCATAATTCGTATCTTCTCTTCCTATCAGATTTTTCTGGTTGCATTTCACGACTTTGCAACTAGAACTAATGCAATAGTTTCACAATGTCGCAAAAAATCTCGTTTCTACCACGTTACGTATTGCCACCTCTCCACATATTATTGATTTTTAACGAATATGGACTTAGTTATATTATGCTTTTTGTCAGTATGTTGCGATATCTGACTTTGGTTTGTGATCGTGAAGTTTTTACTAGAATAGTAAAGTATATGCTTGGTGTATGCTGTCAATCCTTTTCGACCATTACTTTTATTGTCGTTATTTTGTCTTATTTTTAGATGGTGTCAATTATCCTTGCAGGTTATGTATTACATCTTCATTTTATTTAGTCTTATATAAGTCATGATTGGTTTTAGTGATTTTCATACGACTATGAATTGTTTTATATTAGAATCTTGCTTGATCTAAATTTTTCAATAGATTTGATGTCTTTATTTCAGCCAAAAATATTCTGATTTCTAATTGTGTATAAAATTGTGGAATTTTGAACGTACTTCTATACAAAAAACTCAGAAACTATGAAGAGCTTACTTCATCGATCAATCAGTAATTTGGTCTCCGGAATCAATTGTAAATTGAAGAATAAGTATTTCTTTTACATAAACAGATTTTTAAAATCATAATAACAGGAATGTGTAAAACTATAAGCTCTATGTGTCTTAATATGTTAATTTAAATTTCAAAAGGATACATGGATTTGCTAACTTTTTCATGAGATGGTGGAGATTTGTAGCTCAGGTGAATGATTTTGATGGGGTTTTGTTCTCCAGCTCAGAGAACAAAACCCCATCATAACTTTGTCATGATTTATTTCTGAGTCCTTCAGTAACCAATTTTGTAGTACAAGTATTTTAGTCATAGTCAACGTAGATTGTGGCGCAAATGTATATCAGCTGAAGTTATCGAAACTCATCAGCACTGAAAAATGATTCATACCAAAGAGTTTGTAGTAGTAATAGTGTTTGTAATTGAACAGAAATGGACATAGAAAATGTCGCCGGAAAAAAAAGAAATCACTTCACAGAATAAAAATTATGAAATAACACCGAATTTGAAGATCTACGAACAGATAAGGGATGGAAGCACCTGGGTTATTATAACCTACTTTAGACCATTTCACTTAAGGACTTTAGCCATTAATTAGAAAGAATTGGAATTTCGGCATTGAGTCTTGCGAATAGTTTTAATACAATCATTCCAACTGTCTACTTTTTTAAGCAAGACTAAATTTTTGTTTGATTATTAAATCAACTACGCTGCAATGGCTTCAGAAGTCGAATATTTTAGAACTTCCGATATTAGAGCAGCATATAAGCTTAAATAACAGCCCTCTACTATAGAAATTCCTTATTTCGCATTATACACTGGGGGAAAATAAGCCTTTATTTGTTTAAATGTCTGATTTTTCATGGTGGAGAAGATTTGTAGCTCCACCATCTCAAAATCATATGAGCGTAATACGCTTCTCGTTGTTCGAAAATGGGAGAACTTCGCCAAAAGACAGGCTTCCACTCGAGAACAACTATATCTTCTCCATGAGTCGTCGCCAGCATGTTCTACCAACAAGTGTAAGATACAGACCTCCAATCAACTGCCCATAAGGATGGAAACTAGCTGATCAAAGTAGAAGAAAAACGGTACACCTAATGATAACTACATTTCCATCCCCGTTGACAGTTGGTTGCACAAGCTTGGTATTGTCTTTTGATCCCCAATGTGTTATGACTTGAGATTCTAATTGATATCACTCGCTAGATTTACCAAGCATACTTCGGGTTATCGACTGGTTCACATATACTCCCAGTAGGACCGCTCATCGATTTACCAATCGACACACTAACCAATAAATAACAGCCAATACGGTAATGTTTATTGGTCCTCAAGCTCTTTCTAACCCAGTAGCCAACCAAAAGACTAATAGAAGGCATATTATTTCTCTATTTTACCCCGTTCATCAGTGACTTGAAACTCAGACAATAATATACTTGGAACGACTGACTACGTAACACAGTGAATAAGGAACCACACTTTAAACACAATCATATCATAAGTGGTAGAGTGCGGAGCAAACAATACATAGTTTATTCGCAGTGGCTAAGGAATAGTGAACCGTGCAACAACATTTAATAGGTCAATTAAAAGCTTTCCATAAGGTGAATATAGAAATACAACAATACAGTTATCTACTATTTATTCAATAAGAAAGTATAAGTAATAGTCCGTAAAATTATTCCGATAGTTCCAACTTCCCTAATATTCGTCCCGTTTTAAAATTTGGGGAGAATGGGGATGTGTGTTTGTGGCAGTCTTATAGTTTTAACATGAATTGCATTCTTGAATATAGTATTGTTTCACGAATTAAAATTTATTACGGTTTGCAATACTTTTACCACAACCATTTGACTCATCAATAACACGACTGTAGTCACTTAATCACTTATTAAATATTTTATCTCCTCTAAAATGAAATCCAATTAGATGGATCACAAGAATATGTAAACATCAAAATCCAATTTCTTTCACCCTAGTTAAAGCTAGCAACCAAAATGAAAAAACGAGTAATATCTCATAATAACCAATATATTTCATTGTGTAACTGTACCACTTTCCAATAATATACTGAGTACTCATGTTTATTAAATTATAATGTTGCTAATCAAACACTTTGTCTACTGGGGTACTATAAACTTTTCTAAAGATCTATGTTCTTTAAATAAAATTTGGTAGCTGTGACTTGGGTTATGATTTCGTGGATCGAAAAACGTAATTTTGTATCTACTTTTTCTTCTTTTTACTCTTCCCAGTCTTTTTTGCACTTTTTCCTGTTTTTTTGCTTTTTCTCGCCCCTCCTTTCTTTATAGATTTTGTTTCTGGTTTCTTTGTAGACGGTACATATTCAACGCGTTTTCCAATACATCTTAACTGAAAATGGATTTAGAAATAATAAAGGACTGTAAGATAAAGATTGACATTATTTAAAACGTTTTCGCTTAACGTGTCGAACATAATATGGGGATTTGTTTCTATGTCGTTGTATATTTGATGATTGTCTCACTAATTATATACTAAATGTTTGAAATAATAATGAGCCATTTTTATGAGAATATTTCGTCTCCTTTGTTCTCTGTGCTAGTGACTGGTAATATCGCATCACATATTTCTGATCATTTTTACATAAGGCACCAGTATAAACAAACTAGAGATTGGCTATGTATATTAGGTTAACTATGTGCTATAAATCTGAAACTAACGACATCTCACCAGATAGATCTTGATGCTTCAAAAGCAGATAAATCCCCAAATCATTGCCAATTCAAATTCATAAAAACTTTATTTGTTAGACAAGAACTGAAATATGTCCCTGAGCCACTTGTTTTTACCTCGTGCAAATTTGTCTACTTATACATTCAGTGCATAGACATCAGTTAAGTTACTATATGCATTAAAACGTACCTCTGAATACGATCTATTCCTAACTGCTGAATGAGATGCTAATTAAACCAGTGTAATCTAATTGCCTAGACAATATTTTCCATTCATCAAAGTTAACTAAATTCCGCTCAATTTTTCCCTTTCTTACTACTGCATAAAACCTGAGTAAGGCTAGGTTATGGGTTTTAAATCCATATGAAATATGTTAACAGTAGCTGAGATAAGTAGATGTCTCCAGGTTCTTATAAAACTAAGTAAAGTGTTGGGAATTTACCTGATTGCAAACAAAACAGTGGTCCTCAGCTTTCATTTTTCCTTGAAAGTCTCCGACCAAACAAACTTTACAAAATCTTGTTCCACACCACTTGCACATGTATGTCTTAATAATTAATTATCATTCAGTACGTGAAACGATTTTAAGATACTGTGTCGTTTGCCTGACAACCCCATCTGCACATTTAGATGCAGTTTTTAATTTAGCTTGCGGACAGAAATTTCTTAAACGTTTTAAGAACCACAAATGGTACTGGAATCACCTGTGTTACAATGTGTCAAGAATCTAGAGATAACATATGATAATGACATTTCAACAATGAACGGTATGTATATTCATTACTCTGGTTATACTTACATATAACTGTGCTAGCAATCGAAAATAATTAGAAATAGATATAAAGTTGATTTATAGATAAGCTTCCAATCTTCCTAAGAGTTTTTCATACTAATGCACAAAAAGGAAACTTAGTTACCGTCAAGGTTGAAAGTGCAATGCTGATATATTCAAAAGATTACCACAATATCAGAATTCGGAAATAACTGTATGATTCCATGTGGAGCCGGTATATTTTCACTATTTTAATAGGGGTTGATAGTCCTATAATGACAAGGCAGTACTTACATTCAATGTCTTTGTCACGAGCTTGGACGTAATAGAAACTTAACAGGCTCCCGTATCTAGTATCAGTAGGTCAGTGATGTCTCTAGGTAGGAAACTAGGTATTTTTTACGGTGAAAAAAGAAGTGTCAGTAAATCATAATGAGATACTGCCCTCAGCCCGTAATATTATGTTAAGTTTTCTAATAAAGGACTTCTGGGAACTCCTTTGGACTAACTCAGCCGGAAGTGAATCCCGAAATTCGACTACTCTTAAAGCATGAGATTTGTTCATACAGTCAATTCCCCTGTGTTGTCTCTAATTTGTGGGTGTTTCCCTCAAATTTTGTGTTGGGACCGAGCTTAACTAGGTGATTGAGTGGATGCCCAAGAGCGTTTAAAACGATGTAAGTCATTAGAAGGTCAACTCTAAGACGCCTGTACTCTAATGAGTAAAGGTCCAGTGATTGGAGACGCCCTTAATACAGCTTAAATTTGAGCCCCCGAACTGGTTTCGTGGCTAACCGATGGATAAGTTACAGAGTATCGTTATCCTTCTGAAGTGAGAGAGGAAATACTATGTTTCAGTAGTCTAAACTGAGACGAATAAAAGTGTTTAAGATTATATGGGAGGTTCTTCCATCACACTGGCCAAAAGTTATATCTGAACTTATCAGGGCAAGGGTTTGCTCGAAAGACATTTTTGTCTCAGTTACCGTAAGACTTCAGATTGCAGGCTATCAACACTTAGATCGTTTTCAACTTGGGATGCCATCAGAGAAGAGTTACCTACGTTGTATTCGTAGCCAGCAACATGTAGACTACTTTACGCTTCAAAGTATTCAAATAAGGTCCGATGGTCCTCGTCCAACTTCAAAATCGAGCCAGATCCTGCCAAGGTGTCAGCTTATAATCTTGGTTTCGAAATTCCTCACAAAGTTTCACATCGTGGGTGATTCTTGATGATGGTTCTTCGTAGGTTTTATGCAATTCCTAGGAACCGCTTGTGGGTCAGACTGTTTTGTAGCACTCATGATTGTGTGCAGTATGAAATCCCAATTAACGTCTACATCAAATTGAAGGCTGTCCAGTTCGCCCGTTGTAGATTGACCTGTAAAGCTGACACATCCAACCGTTCGTAATTACAACGCCTGTTGTCGGTAGGATGTTTCGCTGACAATATTAAAGGCTATTACGGCATAATCACCTTATCTAAGGCAGCCAGGATTGACAGGTTATCACTAAGTAGTTCTTCGTTTGAGAAGATCCAGTTTAAGCGTGAAGGCTTCTGATTGTTTCGTCACTGAGTCAATAACTTTACATCTTTGAACAATCCCAGATCTTCCAGGAGATTAAAGAACCGTGTTTCACTAAAGTTTTAACCTCCAATGTTTATGCGTCTAGTGAAATTGGTTTCAGGAAGATTGAGTTCTCGACTAATCGGGATATGTGTTTGTCCAAAATGCACAGACAGAGATAATTACCTCAGCATACGATTATCCCACTCGGTGTTAACAATGGGTTTCCCGTAGATGACTTTAATAAGACACCTCGAGGTTTCGGACAATCTCCTTAAGAAACATACAGATTCATCAAGATTAACAAACACTTCAGTGTATGCATGATGTGCTACCAAACAAGAACGTAGGTCCAGAGCTGCTCCACCTCCCATTTATGTTTTTCTGTCGTTAGGGGACAAATGCATGCCAGGTATTCCCAACCCCTGGTTCACAATTTGAGATGCTCATGCTTCAGATATTCTTATCAGATAAGTATTTCTTCGGTCGCTTAGTTCACCTGACTCATCCATTTTGTCTGAAAAACTCTAAGCTTTCATATATAGGCAGTATGTGCATTCCATTTGAAACAAGTGAGCTCCTGTATCCCGTTTATTTGAATGAGGCTTATATGAACGAACAGGTAACCTACCTAAACGGGGTTTTTCGACTTGGTAACCCGTTTCCATCCTACATATTTTTTTTGTTATCGGCAGTCGGCAAGTGGAACCGTCAGTTCAGATCTGCTTTTGTGCTTAACCCTCGCATCATGTGACCTGTCAGCACGCATTCCGATACAAGGTGGTAACCGGCGTTCGTTGTCAAGGGGTGCACCGAGAAAAGCACCCACTACTTGGGAGAGTGTGAAGGTTACATTCACCAGTTTGGGTCTAAATTCCCCGTTTTTCTTGATGATTACACCACTTGGGTTAATATGTTTTCAGGGTTAAAGGACTGCTTTATGAACTTCTACACCAGAATATCTCAGTCCGCGTAATTAGGGTCTACATCTTTTGAAACAACTTGCACAAAACTATTTCTTCCTCAAAAGAACGCCTCACGAAACCCAGTTGAGATGTCCCTGATTAGAATGCGCTCGAAATATGGTTTGTCAGGAAGTATTCTCACATCTTCTGATTTCGGCAAGTGGCCGGTCAAGAGAGCGTTTTGTACGTCATCACTGATAGCGAACGCTGAAGAAGGAGTCGTGGATGGTTTTGGTGGATGGCGTTCTTCTCTCGGAAAAAGCCATACAACCATTGGTGGCTCAATTTTGGGAAATCTGGGCTTACTATCTGACTTTCCTAGACATCCTGTCGTTTTCGTCTTGAGAAATGAGAGAAAGGTCAGGGCCATCTTTATAGTTCATGATTATGAGAGAATTATCGCGAACCGTAACTGCATTTCCCAGGTTTTTGAGTACGTTAATATTAGAGTACCTTCGTTTGGCAGGTTGACCACTGTCATGATTCCCGTGCATTTTGTTAACACGTTGGACAAACTTGGGAGTAGACTTCACGATAGATTCTTCAGCTGATTTTCTCAAAATATCCACCATTTTGGGCGGTGACGTTCTGTATCATTTACCTCCACTGACGGAGGTCCAGTCGTTCACAGTAGGTGTTTTGGAGACCATAGTTGTAGTTGGGGAGTCCCTACTGAGAGACACAAGTTCACGGAGTGTCTAACACAGTTAATGTAATGGTGGTGCTGAGTTTCCGTTAATGTTGGTGATCGATCCACCAATACAAATGTTCTCGAATACCATCTTATTCAACTCACCATTAGCCTTTATTTGTTACCGTATCAGGACGCCTTATTTCAGGGTTGCATACAATTTTTCCTCAAACCTATCAGGAAAACGATATTATTCAGCAAATCCTCAGAATTAATATTGTATATGTCACTTGTCCACTTGCGATCTGGTTTACTAAGTCTGTTGTAGACAATCGGTGGGAGATCTATACATCCATTTATGCATGTATAAAAAGACCGATCTATTTACTCCCACTTACTTTTACTTCGATACCGTTCTATATGCATGCGAATTTCCAATGGGTGGTAGTCTAGCCGCTCAAATATACCAATTCTAATCCATTTTGGTAACTACTTATGAATTTGTAAATCATGTAGTTCAGTGACTGCGTTTGTCTCAGGGCAGCAGGGATCGTGGATACCATAAGTCATCACTTTATGAGAAAGGAGGGTGTCTGGTTGTCACGTGAAAATAGTGGAGTGACAATTACAGTACAAAGAGGAGGCGATTCTTTCAAGAATAATAAGCAGGTTAATTTATTGTCAATGTGTAAGAAGACGGATTTGAATGAATAAGAGGGGAAACGGAAATCATAATAAGAGACGTGGAAGACGGTTGCCAAGTTGTGGTAGTGATAACCGCGGTAATTTGTAAGAAATGTGTCAGACACAGGTGGTTTAAGGAGGTGACAATCCATGGGCGATTATTTGCCTGTTGAGTCTCCTCTTAAACATATAAACTGATGGGCCTGTGCTCACTTCGGTCTAGAGAGCATTCAAAATGACGGCAACCCTTGATGAGAAAAGGTGATAACGTACCTGGATGTTCGCTCTCTGGTAAAGGATGTTTCTAGAATTGCCTCGATGAGCGTGGTGATAGTGTCCTAAAATTATACTGGTGTTGAGGTGGCTTGGAGAGCCTAATGCTTCGTATTCCAATATCAGATCACCCCTTATATTCTTACTTGATTTATCAACAGATGGAGTGCTTCGTTTCTAATTATGATGTGGTCATACATAATCACGCAAACTACATTGCGTACAAAAGTTACTGTTAGACGGAATAACATTTTAGTTTCACTAATAAAACAGCTTCAGCTTCTTAATTTCTTAACGATACATTTCAAATGGTGGATTTCAACCAAAGATTTGGTGTGAAATAATTGTCCTTGACTTGCTTCAAGTGCTGAACTTCAGTGGTCGGAGGGCACTACGCAAAAAATGCGAGATGATCTTTTTATAATGCGCTTGCTAACTAGTTTATGTCATGAATGCTGTTGAATCTACCTAATGAATTACGTTCATATAAACAAATTTTGTATGTATCTAAAGGAATACATGCAATCCCTAAACTCAACCAATTCGGAACGATGAATAACTGTTTATGTTAGTTTAGTTGCGCTCTGTTGCTCGGTAGAATCCATAACACGGTAATTAGGTAAATGAAGTTTCTAAATCTAATTTTGAATTCAAACATACATTATTACCTAAACAAATATTTCCGCCCAGTTATTCAGCCAATAATCGTTCATTCAGTAGTCAAGTTTAAATATAATTAAATAGATGAATTGATAAAGGATATATAGGACTTACCAAGTGCAAAAAATAAATCAACATATCAGCACAGGGATGTTATTCTACCCTTTCTGGGCATATCACATGCAAATTGTTAGAATGATAATATTTAATTTTGCTACAACACGAACTGTTCCCAATTCTGAGCGAATGCTTCGATTCACGATGAAAACTACAAAATTCCGGTCAGTTCAAGCAAATCAATACAACGAGTGAGCGTATGAATATGACAGCT